TTTGTATTTTTATTTATTTTAATCTGCTACTTATTTTATAGTCCTTGAAAAAAAATCTTATCACAAGGAGAAAAATTATGGTGTGCTTTCTGATATGCTTCCCTCTCTTCATGTTTCCAGCAGGGTAAGTGGTCTGACTCAGATGGCCATGGATTGGACTAGTGGGCAAAAGGAACAGATGGGGACAAGGTTGCACTGAAAGTAGAATATAAAGAAAGGGAAAGAACTTATAGCAGATATAAGACTTTTCTGTAGATAAATGGTCAGTTTATTTAGCACACCCTCCAAATCAGTGCAGTAGAATTAAGTAGTTTAAATTTGGGTATACATTCTTCTCCTTATGGAGGGGCCTTCACCTTTCTTCCCTGTCTCTTGCTAAAATTTAGAGAAGTAGGCAGAAGCTTATATATATGTGTGCGTGCGTGTCTACATATATGCATACATACACAGTGCTAAATACACTTTCACACCGTAAGTTAATGAAAAGTGACTACTACAAATGTTGTCCAAACTTCAAGTGAAAGGAAACACAAATAAGAATGTGGTTATGGGTGCAGGAAACTTGTTTGGAAGTTAATGGTATAGATAAATGATTTTTACTTTTGGCTGACCCTTGAACAGAAATGGAAAGGAAATATCAATGTCTCCTGAATCAGTATTTTTATTACTAGAAATTGCTCTTAATATATAAAAAAGGGGTTGACTTTGGCTAAAGTTTTTAGCAGATTATATGCACATATGCATTTGGGGTATTGCTGAGTACTTCCTAGACCTTCCTGCTTTTTTATTACATTTGGTTTACAGAAAATCTGTTCTTTTTCTATCATTGAACTCATATGTTCAACTTCTTTTCTGTTACTAGTGTTATGGTAGCATTTATAATTCACTTACGACTGTTTTTTCTTTAAAGAAGAATATACTAAAATCACCTATTAAGTACCGAATAGTAAAACAATTTGAATAACATCAAAAATGTAGTAAAACCAGAATGATGGCAGACTATAGTAGGAGAGTATTTATGTTGGAGTTATTCCACTTCTTATGAATGCCTGAACATCATTTCTTTTAAAATACTATTTCCTTTATTTTTTTTTTACTATTGAAGTTAAAAATACATTTACTGAAAAGTTCATTTTCACCAAGTTGACTTTAATTTGCAGAATTCTGGCTGTCTCTGGCTGACTTATATATCTGTGACCAGAGTTTATTAAACAGAAACTTATAACACCATAAAACAGTACATAAAATTTTTCTTTTAATGTCATACTATTGTGATACACGTCAAAATTATTTTGATTTAAAATGTTTACTATTACTTTCCCTAAGAACACAGTTGTGTGAAGAGAAGATGATAGCTACCATAAGGAAATAAATCATGCTGGGATATAGACAGGGACTTCGCTACTTTTTCAGTTAAAGCTGAACCACAACATCTAGAAAGTCAAGATCGATAGATCTGGAAGTAGATCAACAGAAAGAAGCCCGACTAATCCTGTTGTGAGAGAACTCTCCTGAGGAATGAGGTTCAGTGGGAAAATTCTGTTCCCATTTCTGCTCTGTGTTGTGTAGCAACTCTTCAGTAATGAAGAAGTACCTGTAGATCAAAATCATGGTCTTCTCATCCCTGATTCTTCACTGCTTAGCTACATCCAGTATGCCTGTCTATTTCCTTTTCTTGATCCCAGTGAATCTTGTGACTTGATATGGTATTGAGTGCTGCACAGCCTAATCCAGTTCAACAGTTGGAATCATTTCTTGAAAGATGGGAAGTAAGCATTTGAATTCTTTTCAAGTTAAGGAGTCATTAGCTAACATCTCTTTTTATACAGCTGTTTGAATACCTGTTTCCTAGATGATAGTGAACTTGCCCAGCTGCTTCATAGTGCTTTTAAAAAGAAAAGAATGACACAAAAAGTTGATATAGGAACTGTGTGGAAGAGCATAAATTGCTAGATTGCCTGTGTTTCACAAATACGGACTTGTCTTCAAAACATCTACTACTAACATCTACTACATCTAATCTACTTTACAGAGAGAAATTTGGACCTATACATTAAGTCAAGAATTAAGTCAAAAAAAAAGGTTAAGTTTGACAAATAGTAATAAGGATAGTTTTTGAATCACAAGGATCTAAAAATGTCGTAGCATTATGGAGTATTGTGTTATTATTAAACTGTTTTGACAGAAGTCTGCAGGATTTTGAGGGGCATGTGACAGGAATGATCTCTCCATGTTCTCATGAATTGCTTCAGCCAGTAGATGCAGAGAGACATCCTCTTCTGGAGGACATCTTGTAATGCCTTTTGCTCTCTCCCTCAATGTACTCCATTCTTTCCTGCAACCTCCATTGACTCCTAACCACAGCACCGTCTCCTATCTCATGTATTTATTGGAGATTTATGATTTACAACTAATAGTATGTGCATGTGCACTGAGCTCTTTCTCTGCATTGTGGCGATAAGTGCAACCTGCCTGCATTTCTGCACCTCATCTGTGTTGGTGCAGGAAGGCTGCTGCTAGAGCTACTCCCGTTCTTGGAAGGAAGGTCTGTGGGAAGTCAGGGCAGTAGGGTCAAGTGGTATACAGTGTGACCAAGCTTGGCTGTGATGAAAAGAGCAGGTGCTGAAATATGATCTGGTTGTCAGAATCACCAGAGTGAAGAACGGAGAGCCAGTGTGAAAGAAGGAGAGCAGATGGATGTGGTCTTACCAGCCATAATAAAAGTATTATCATAGTGGTTTTCTAAAACCTTCTCCATTTAAGTTTTATTATTCTGCAATATTGTAATCCATTTGGGATGTTAAGTAAATAATCAACCCATTTTTTTTTAATGGAAGCAGAATCTTAGGACTGACTGGAGACAATTTCAAACATTATTGTAGTGTTTCTGAATAGAAAACTTCACAGCAGCAAGAAGTTGAGTACTGCCATGTACAGAATGAATTTATGGCCTTGTACTTACCATAAGAGAGAAAAAAAAAACTTAGTGCGTACAAATGTTTGCTTTCTTTTTTTCTGTTACTTTGTCACTGTTATCTTATTATCCTAATTTGTCTTTTCTTGTGGAAACTGCTCATCCCCCCAAGAGCTGTTAGTGATAGTAGTTGTGGTATTATCTGGTTTTAATGCTCAAAATTGCAGCTTGCATGTACTAGTAATCAAATACTTATTCTAACCAGTTTTCTGAGAAGTTAAAAAATTAGGGAAGGGGTCGTACAGTTTGAGGCTTAATATCCCTTTAACAAGCATTTTCTGCATCCTTTTAAGAAGGACCCAGTGATTTCATATGCTAATCTGGACTCTTTCTGTAGTTAAAATGGCAACAACTGTGTGGAATGCTGCAAAATATCCAGATGTTAAAAATGGATAACTTCTTCTCTGTCCTTTTTTAGATACTTCATTGATGCCAGGAGATGGTTTTAATTCCATATTCTGGAGTGAAATCCAGAATATGCAAACTATATAATACTGAATGCAATTAAGTAGATTTATTGTTGGCCTTTTAGTTGTTTCTCTGTGAAAGTAGTCATGAATGGAAGATTTGACAGGGAGTTAGTACTATCCAGTGTTTCTTCAGTGCAAGTGTGGATTAAAGAATCCTTGGAGGAGGCTGATAAAAATTTGTTTCTTGAGTGAGCCATTGAGTGTATTTCGGGAACTGCATTGGCCTGTAGATCTTTTCATGAATCCTGAAGACCGTCTTTTGAATCCAGAAAGTTTTAGCACAAATATCTTTAGGTGCTGTTGGCTACGGTAAGCCGAATTGCCCTGGGCCTGATGAATTAAACTCATCTTAGGATACTATCAACAAAAACTACCTAGAAAAAGCCACAGAGTAATACATTGTTGTAACACTGTCTAGGCACATTTTGATTTACTGTTTGTTCTGTACTGTTTGGCTCTGAAATACTTTGAATTCTATGTTCATGGTCATAACTGCAGATTTAATAAGGAAAATGTCCTTATTTTTATTGCAACTGTAGAGTTCAAATTATTATCTTTGGCCTTTTTTTTCATGGTTTACAACTTTTTCTCTTGAAATACACATTTTATCTATAACATACCAATAAGTTTGCATGTTTTCTGTGTACTTTATATGCCTAGTTCAGCAGACATACTGTCTGACTGAAAATAATTCTCTCTAGATAAGACAGAGTCTCAAACAATTCTGTGCAACAGCACACTCATATTTATTTTTATATGTAGAGGACTTACATTGCACGATTTTTTTTCTATTTTGTTTACGTGAGATAATACTAGTTTAATAACAAAACTCAAATGTAGTATCAATAAAGCTATGAGTTTCACTGGATTTTGTATTGTTTTCTTAGTATATTTCTGTTTTTGCATTGCTCCATTATTTGAGACTGTACCAATAAGAATATAATTATTCTGATACTCAATTTAATTTGCTACTTGGAAAGCACTTTTTCCTTTTTTTCATGAGCAAGCAAAGACATACATAAGAAAAAGGATGCTTTTTCTTGTTGTCCCAGTATTCATTGATTTGTTATTGAATTCCATATGGTTCAATTACAAGCTGCAAAGACCTGTGTAGTAATTGAAGAATTCTATATAAGGTAGTGATTATCATAACAGTTTTCAGTTTTAGACTTTAAAGTAATGAATTTCTACATATTTCTACTAAAAATAAAGGGATTAAATTCTGAAGAACATATTTAAAAATACATTTTAAAAAGTCAATTATAACCTAAGTGTCTATTTCAGATATACTTAATGTTTGTTTTTGTATTTAAGTGGAAAATGTTGCATTGTTCTTTTTAAATCATATTTTCCTTTGGGTTATTTATATTTGCTAAATTTTCCTGAATTGTATAAGTCTCTATGAAGATATCAATGCCATTTATATCTGCTTAGCACTTACAAAACATTTCTGAAGTCTCTGTAGACTGAATCTTTAGTCCTTCTCTACTGTAACTTTTGCTTCTAGACTATTATATATTTCTTTAAAGTAAAAATATAATCTCTTTTTTTTTCAGGCTTATATATATGAGATGCGTTCAAGCACCTTTTTGCATAAGTTGGGAGGGCACACAGATTCTGTCATCAATGTGACTTTTTGTCCCTCATCTCCCAAGGTAATCCTTTGCTTTTTTTTCTTCATAATTAAAATATATAGGTTATTCACTGTAAGCTTGTTGCATGCTTCAGATTTGTCTAATGATAATTTAGGATAGTAACAATGTTCTGTGATCAGTAAAATTAATGAAATCTACCTTTTTCTGATTTTTTTTTCTTTTGTCCCAAGTTATTTTCCTCTCTATATTCCTAGACATAGTGAAGCTACTGTAGGATATGTCCTCTGTGATCCTACTGAGCCTCTTTCAATATGTCACTTTGAGTATCAGCTTGTCATCTCACGCCTTTCTCTGTTGTATCATCAGTTCCATCTCCAATACACAGAAAATTTAATCACTCCTCAGTATCTTCCCCAGTTTGTATTAGTTTGTTTAGGCAAGAGGCAGTACTTCATTCATCCAGACTATTACATGTGTGTTTATAATTCACTCAGGCAGGAGCAAACAGAAAGGATAATGTCTTCCTTTTCCATACCAATTTGGGTATTTCCCTTCTGTGAGGGAAAAAATAGAAATGAAAAGCTGCCAGGTTTTCAGAACTCAACAAGAACTACCTAGGAGCTTAATAATTTATTCACCTTGGAAAGTTAACTTTGAATTGTTTGGAAGTAGGAATGACAGGCTGTATAATTTTATTTGCCCTATTTCAGTAGGAATCTACCTTAAAATATATGATGTTTTAAAATAGATTATCTCTGCTCTATTAATTATGGTATTCCCTTTTATTTTTACCTGAGAAACATACTCCATCACTTCTTTAGTCATCTAAGAATATCTGCCAAATTGCCCAATAATGTACTTCTTACTATTTAGAATACTTCCTTTACAAGTTTACATTATTTTTTCTCCTCAATGCCTCTAATGTAAAAAGAAATACCTATTAAATTTTGTTTTCTCTTAAATTATATAAAAATATGTTAAGATGGCTTTATAGAAAAAGGTGAAAGACGCTTATGGATTCTAGACAAATATAATATCCACTGTGAAAATGCTGTGATTACAGGTCCCACACATGAATGAGATTTCTGTTGCAGACAGCATTAAGATAGCTATTAACCAATTTAATATCTGAGTGCTCTGTATAAAAATCTTTTTTCACATACTGTTCTTCACACAACTTTGTCAGTTGAAACTTTCACTTACAACAGTTGATATACTTTGTGCTACTAGAGAATATAGAAGCTCATTTTTCATTGTAGTCATCTTAAGTACAAACAAGTGATAAAGCAATTTTATGCTACACAACATGCTACTGATTCAGTTGTACTAAGTGCTAATAAAACTGATATCATGTGTTGTTTTACAGTTTATATATACAGTAACTCTTAAATAACTTTACTGAAAGAAACAGACATAGTTTAAAGAAGTATTTTATGGCTAGAACTGCACTTCTGATAAGATTTTGGAGCACTCACTCATGGATTAAGTTACTCCTTCAGGAATTAACCTATCACTAAAATATCTAGTTTGTAGTCAGTCTCTTGGTTTGACACTTAAAGATTATTCAGAAATTGTTATTATTTTTTTAGATTCATCAAAGGATCTTTTTACAATGTTTTTTATATACCAGTTTAACTCTTGTAAATCAAATATGTCCACTACACTGTTATATTTATATTCACATATCTGACATTTCCTTGGCATCAAGAGTCAAGTATATTTGTTTTCACAACGTCTGTACTGTGAACTCAGGAGTCCTGATTTTTTTAAGTTCCTAGATCCATGGAGACATTCTGGGGAATTTTAAGCATTTTACCTCTTCCATTTGTGTCTTCCAGGCTTTAAACCCTGAAGTAGAAACAGTAGTACTTCCTTTTCTGAGATTATTTTGAGCATAAACTATTTCTCGGAGTCCACCTTATAATGTCTTGAACCAAAAAACAAGTTAAAGAAATAACTAAAGATTTGAACTATATGAATATATATACACATATGTGCACATATACATGTATGTACATGCATACACACACACACACATATATACTTTTTGCTGATTTAGAACATGAACTGTTATTTGCTGATATACATTGTCCAGAGCATGATTAGTGTGTAGTTCTATAATATGCACTGTCATATTTACAAGTAGACGCGTATACACACACACACACATTTCTTGTTTTATCAAGAAATAAATTTATACTGGGAAATATTATATCTTATTATATCATTGCTCTCATATTTACCTGCCAGTATGCTGTGCAGTCGTATTTTAGACTGTGCATCTATTTCCAATTATAGTGTAGTTATTGAGTCATGTAGAATGCTACAGGCTACAGAGACAGATGCTCTGCCTCATTGACTGCAGAGTTCTGGCATGGGAACTATGAAAAGCTGTACTAGTTGGATTTTGGAAAAAGGGGCATCTATCTGAAATTACCTGTGCAGACTTAAAAGAGACAGCAATGTTCAAAATATGACTGTGGAAAGAACAGTAGCTCTTCTCTACTTCATTGGCTCTGGTTGTACTTGCTACTATTCACAAATGTTTATGGTATAAGTTCTTTACATCTGAGTGTATTTTTATATTTTCATATCTTTTTTTTTCTATATGAATGTAAAGGTACTAACACTTCTGTTATTTTAAAATTTCTGGCTGTTTCTACTCCCTAGGTGTATGTTGTTTGAACTAAAAATAAACACGAACAACTGCTATCTTGTGGCAAACATGTATTTCTGCACTTTGGATCAATGTTACTACAATTTACGGTGTTACAGTTTAGCAAAATTTTCACACAGATTAAAGCTAATTTCAAGTTTAGCACTGAACCCAGTTTTGGGGAAAAAAAAGCTGTTACCTAGCAGAGAATAGAGCTGGCTTCCTATAGGTGTCCTGTTCTATACTTCAGCTGTTAGAATGCATTTTAGTAAAAAATAGTTCTAGAGTGTTACTAGTAATGTCCAGAGGCTTCTTTGCAATCAAACCACAAATCGAGACTTCAAACTAACAAAACTCATCAAGTCAGTTGCTGATCAGAGGAGGAGAATCAGCAGATCTGAATTAAGCAGTAGTTGTGGATCCAAGCAAGATTAGTTTAGCTCTGAAAGTATGCTTCAGAGCACAAAATACTGGAATTTGTAGAGCATCACACAGTAAATTCAGTACTGTGGTTAAGAGTTATTTTCTTTTTTTTTGGGGGGGGGAAAGGTTTAGGAGTAGTATTACGCAAGGGCATAGGATGAGAAAGTGAATGGATGATGGCTTATTTATTATGGCAGCCTGACGTTCACTACCTTGATCTACCACATACTTCCTGTTTGAGTGAATGTAAAACATGTAAAGTAAAATTCAAATTCCTGCATTCTCCCTGGGATGGCACCTGAGAAGAGCTGTGATGCACAAGCCTCAGACAGTAGCTCAAGTATGTACTCTTCAGCTCTGCCAAATGCTACAGAAAGCCAAAATGAATTGGTGAGAGTACGGATCTCTGCACATAGCCTTTTAGCCTAGGGGCTAAAAATTTCCCAGGTAGTGAATAATTTCAAATCTAATGTCTCATCAGCCTGAGAGGTTTCAGATGTGCCCTTTAGGAAAGTACCATAACTTCCAAGTTAGGTCACATCCTGGATTAACTATTCAAGAATGGTTCTACTGGAAACTGAGGTTCTGCAGTGACATTGGAAAGACAGAAATACAGGGTTATGTGGTCCAATGGGACAGGCAGATTGAACCTGGGACCGGTGAGGAAACAATATTGCTATTTTTTCCCTTATTTGCTCGTTCCTCTTCTTACTGCTATATATTTTTATGTAGCTCTTTAATGCAAAAGACTGTGAAGTTCAGGGATCAAAATCCCTTTTCTTGAACTCTTTCCTGAGAAGCATGACCTGTAGATTTGAACCAGCTTGCAGACTTTTCTAAGGGAAGATTTTGAAACTGATGATTTAAGGAACACCTTACCAAATAGGAAGGAATGTGCAGAAACTGCTCATTTGAAGAATTATAGCTGAAATGTAAATATTTAAAACCTGTACACAAGAGTCCTTTGGTATAATAAGCACCTTGAAATTCTTTCTAAGTTAGTGGGGTTTGTTTATTTGTATGTTTTGTGAATTGCTGAACCAAATTATTTTCACCTGGCCTTGGCAGTACAGGAGTTAGCACAAAGTTATATTTAATGACAGGGGAAAGGGCAGGAGGAGAAGTTAAGAAATCAAGCGGTAGAGTGGAAAAAAAGAAAACCACAAAGAAATCAAAAGATAATCCTGTGGTGTGAATCACAGAATCACAGAATAGTTGAGGTTGGAAGGTACCTCTAGAGATCCTCTAGTCGCACCCCCCTGCTCAACAGGGCCACTTGGAGCACCTGGCACAAGGTCGCATCCAGATGGATTTGAAGATCTCTAGAGAAGGTTACCAGAATCCCCATCACTAGAAGATTTTTTATACCAACTACTACCACTGTTTAGGGTTTTTAAATTGATCCTATTTTGTTTTGTCCAATGTTTAAATGAATACAGCTAAGAATTATGTTGGGTTCTGACTAACCTCTACAAAAAGCCCCACTGGGCTTCATTCAAAGGGAAACACTGGCAGAGGACAGAAGAAAGGGTGAAAAAAGGGAAGTGGCTGATGAGTGAAATTCGACATTATGGCTGAGCTTTCTGCCATGGAAAGATGCAGCCAAGAGTGAGGTGTATTGGCAGCGCTTCAGTTCAATGGTTGCTTGCCCGGCACCTGTCCATGAGGCAGTTTCTTCCAACCATTACTATAACTCTCAGTTTCATAAATATTCTTCCAGAAAAGGAGGAAAGAAATGGATGGATATAATCAAGATGTGTTTACTGACAGGGGGCACAGTTTCTTTCATCATATACTACTCTATAGTGATTTATATAATGGTTGCCGTGAAAGCTGGAGATGGAAAATCAGATAGAAGAGTTGGATTTATCTTAGAGTTTTATTTTCAAGTTGATTTCTCAGTTTTAGCCTCTCACTATTCCTCTCTTTCATTCATTGTTCAAACTTATATAGGGAAAAGTTTTTAACTCACCATAATCAT